GTCTCCCTGACGGGCAGGCCAGGGGAGGACATGGGCAGGCGCCATGCGCCGTTCGCGCGTGTCCGTCGGCCGCAAACTGGGCCCAAACTTGAGCTGGAAATGGGTCGAAAGGGGACAGAAAATGGACGACGATCCGTTTGCGGCCGTGCGTTGGGAGGCCTGCTTTGTCCGTTTACCCCCGAATGGAAGCGGGCGGACAGGATGGGGTCGCGCGTTGGAGTTGGCCTTACACCATGTTCGACGAGTTCTTTACACTGTTCATCTTCATCTTCTTTTATTTCTATCATGTTCCACTCTCAGGTTTGAGTACTGTTTCATCCTCTTCTTTCTCTATTTCTTTTTCTTTTGTGTAGTTACTCTCGCCTTTACGTGATGTGGACCCATCAGTTTGGCCTATCCTGCTGCTTCGCAAGTTCATGCCATCGTTCTTCCCATGAAAACTTGCTACGCTATTTTTGTCAATTTTTTATTTTCTCTTCCCACAAATATCCATCCCTCTATTCAACACATGCATGCTTGTACTATGAAATCTCCCTTTGTCAAAAGACTTTGATGCCTGCCTTATGAACTTCAATTGAGATACCATTTTGATTTCGTTCATTCAAAGTGCAATGCCTTTTGTATGATTTGATTTGATTTTCAGTCCTAACATTTTGGTTCTTGTTCTACCAGGTTAAATTTTATGAAACTTGCTTTCTTGTTTTTAGAAAACTTACCCAGTACATTAAGTTTTGTACTCCCTCCGATCTTTTTAAGTTCGCATATAAGATTTGTCGAAGTCAAGCATCGTAAAGTTGACCAACTTTATAGAAAAATAATATCAACATTCATAATGTGAAATCAGTATCAGTAGATGTGTCATGACTTAAAATTTCATATTATATAACTTTAGCATGGTAGATGTTGATATTTTTTCATATAAATATGGTCAAACTTTATGAAGTTTGAATTCAGACAATTCTTATACGCAGAGTAAAAAGGACCGAAGGAAATATGTAGGAAGGACACAAGAGACAATTTGTATTATTATTGCATGGTTGCTTGAGAGAGCCTACGTTCCACTTACACCTCTCGCGGATTGATAAACTTTATGTCATCATTTGAAAGGAAATTGTTGTTGTCCTACTGTCCTCTGTGCTTGGAGGCCCAGCAGAGTCTACAAGAATAGATGTGAGCAGTAGACATCAAGAACCCACCAGAGACACCTGCAATGTACAAGGCCTAAGGCAATACTGCAATCACTATTTCGATCTACTATCATGTCGGTGTCCTTCTGCATGATTATGTCTAAGCACTCATGTTAGTTCATTCACATGTTTTCACTAAACTCATGGTCGATTCTTCGTGCAGATGGTAGAAAGAGGGGCGAAGCTAACGGTAGTACAACAACGTTGATGGTACTGGAGGTTGGGGCCAACGGAGGAAGCCTCGCTAGAGTAGTAACAAGGTGGAGCCACCTCCGCGGTGGTGACAATACTTTTGGACCAATAAAGAAGAACTCGTTGTAATGGGAGGTAAGGATTAGGGGTGGCTAGGGGTAAAGGTTTGACCTAACGGAGCCATTGTGTATGACGGGTTAGCATGCAATGGTGCCGACATAGGCAAGATCAGATAATGAAGATGGTGATAGTGGGTTGGGCAACGAAAATGTCCGAGAAAGAAAAAAACAAATAACACTATGAGTTAACGTAAAATAATTGTAATTTTCTTACCTATAGGTAGACCCATGAGTTTTGCCACATCTATGGATAAATCATACAAAATTAAAGTTGCATGACCAGATGGCATATTATTGTTGGAAAAGGGGAGTGGAAGTGAGCCCACAATGGAACTCTAGAGCTATTAATGAGAGGTTAGTGGGAATTTGACTCGTAAGTTTTCACGTCTGAGAAAACTTACCTTAGGTTTAGCCCCATTCAATCTTCGTCCCCATTGCACCTCTTTTTCCCGTTTGCTAAATGTCAGGTGTCTGAACATTTTTAGGGTGTCAGTCAATTTCTGCTTTTTCAGAGGCCGAAAGCAGTGACGAGAGTCGACCCTAGCAGGCCGTGTTGTGAACAAGCCGAAGCCGGTGATAGCCGG